CCACCACAACCAACAATCCCTCTGGGAAGCAGTTCCCTGCCCCTTTGCAGCAGAACTTCTCTTTCTCTCACCCCCTAGCAGGGGCTACTCAGCATTCTTGGTGCTGTTTGCATGTGGTCTATGGTGTGAATAATCTATTCAACTATAGGCACCCGCTGTGTTTTTTGTCTTTTTTGCTTGTTTGTCTTGCTGTTGTATTTTGCTTTGAGCATCGTATGATAAGAATCCTTGTCATATAACTACTTGTGCCCAGCATTGGATTGTTGACTTGACATGTTCCTGGATTTAATTTTAGAAGACACTGCCAATTGCTTTTCTGGAAGGTGGGACTCTCCTGTTCCTGCCAGCAGTGAATGGGGGTGCCCTTTCCCCCACAACCCCAGCAGCCCTTGGTGGCGCAGCCCTCTATGATTTCTACCATCTGCCGAGACCCTCCTGAGGTACTCGTTGTTGCTTTAATCTGCACTTGCCTGACCCCTTAATGAGCCTGAGCATATTTTCATCTGCTTGGCGGCCATTGGGATTTGCTTTTCCAGGAGCTGCATCCTCCTGGTCCATGTTTGTGTGTTTTAAGCATAGAAATCCCCAGAGTGGCTGAGGAAGGAGGTGCTTGCAGTTAAGGGAACGGTCTACTTAATAGAGAGTTCCCTCTTTTGTCACACTCATTTATGAGCTTTCAAAAGATGCAGCCATGGCAGACACATGTAGTAATGAATACTAGCAGCATGTGGAAAATGGAAAGTGAGTGGGCTTTGGGGTCCCCCAGTGGCTGTGTGCTATGGTGGGAGTTACCTGAATCCTCTGAGCCTTGGTGTGTTCATCTGTGAAACAGAAATAAGGATAATCATGACACTTACTTCTTTGCAGTTACCAAAATGTTTGGCAATAATTTGTGCAGAGAACCTGGGCCGTGGTAGATGATGGGTAAATGATATTTGGTTATGATAAGCATGGCCCAGGCTTTCCTCTAGTGGTTAAACAAGGTTTTTAGTGGCATTGGGTTACCCTGAATGTCAGTCCATATTGCACAGGTCTACCCACTAAATAGCAATAGCACACACACACCGATCATAACAACCACAAATGTTCCCCTATCTCAATGTCCACTGTAGGGCTAAGGTGCTCCTATTTAAGAACCATTGATATAAATTCTCTGTAAGAAACTTCCTGACAGTTTACACAGCAGGGGAGAAGGCCCTCCTGCACCCCCCCTTCCCCAGAAGGACCCCCCATTCCTCAGCTCCCACAATTCCCACATGGGGTGTAAATCACAGCCAGGTCTGAGCAGGACCCATGTGAGGGGGTCTTCCCTCTGGTCATCAGAATCCAGCCTGCCACCTAACAGGTGCCCTCAGGAGCTCCCCTTATGGGTGGCCGATTGAGGGGTGAGGGAGGATGGAGTTCTCATGACTTTTCCCTTTCACGATCTGTTCTTCCCATCTTCCCTCAGTCACCGGGAATCTGGCGGTTCAGCCCTCCCTCCACACAGGCCCCATCCATTTCAAATAGGATGCTTCATCGTCACTGTGAATTCTTCATGCCGCCGACATAGCTCCTGGTCTTTCCTTCTGAATCAGTTCAACAAATAACTTAGTAAATGTCTTAATGAAAACTGTTGGTTCCTTCCCAACATCAGTTCTTCCTTTCTTCATTAGTAACAGAGTCGCAGGCAACATGCCAAGTAAAAAATCAGTATTCCTTCGCAGGTCTCCCTTGCTATTTTGTGTGGCTATGTGACTAGCTTTGGGCTAATGAGATGCAAGCAGAGGGTGGCAGGAGACGTCTAGGATTCCTTAGAAAAATGGGAGTCATATGACCTTTTGCTCTTCTTCTTCTTTCCCTCTTCCTGAAATTCAGATGTGATGAATGGAACACCAGCAGCTATTTTGAACCATGAGGAGAATTTGAGAATGATGGAACAGAAAGACAGAAGTTTCAATTCCAATGACAGTAGAACTACTGCACTCGCCCTGGAGCTTAGACCTTTATATGAGGGGAACAGCTCTTGTGTGTTCAAGCCACTGGGATTGGACCTCATGATTAATTAACACAGTTCCTAACTGAATCCAGTGGTCCTGTTACCCTCTCCTGAGTCTGCACACCTGTCTTATCATTCTCCAACTCTCCCTGCTCTCTGCCTGAACATCTTGGAATTGTCATTGAGTCACCATTGACTATTTCTCCAGCTCATCAGCTACCACGGCCTGTTCATTTTCTGCATGAAGTGCCTCTTACACCTGCCTGTCTTTCCCTTCCCATCATACTCTGCTTAGCCTATAAGTGAAGGCTTGTTGAGGGGGACAGGACTTAAAGACATGTAGAACTATTGTCAAGAGGCCCGGCTGGGCCAGGGGACACTGCTAGGGGAGGGCCTGGGGGGTCACAGGTGTTTTATCAGTCAGGACTCTTGTTTACCCTGTGTACCCCGTGCTAGAACTCTGCCTGACACATAGTAAGCATTCAAAATCTAAGGAATTAATTGATTAGTTAATTGACTAATTAATTAGTGACACACATACATATCCATGCATAGAGAAAGCTTCTGTTTTCACTATCCATATGCATACGCATCGCCTTTCATCACAGAGACACCAGGTTGCAAAGAAAACCCTCAAGAGTTTGCTGTTGACTTGAGCCATGTCACTTGCAAGGACAAAATATGTGTGCGGTCAGCTTGAGTCCAGGCCTGTTACTAGAAATAAACTGAGCCCTTGTTAACATCACACGGGAACACCGAGGAGAGGTGGGGCGATGGGTGGCAGGAGAAATGCCTGAGATCTTACACAACCTGGGCAAACAGAATGACGGCTGGGCAGCCCCGGGCGTCCAGGAATTAATAGCCTTGCTGAGGCTCCACGGCGCTGGAGACGGAGCTATTTAAAGTCAAGAAATGTCATTTCCACCCGCAGAGGCTACCCCGGCTGCGTTATCTGGACACTCTTCAGCCCCGGTGTTCTGGCAGCCTCCCTGGCCGGGCCTCCCAGCGGTGGGACTGGACCAGTATGTCGTCACCGCTCCGTGGGAGGGGAGGCTGACCTTGGCCTCTCCGGGTTCCTCCTCTCTGCTCAGGCCCCGGGAGAGGCTGAGTGGACACGCAGGGTTCAGTTAACCCCCGGTGAGGGCTGCTGAGAGCACAGAGCCTCTGTTCCCCAGGAGGCCAGCAGGATAGGGGTTAAGGGGGATGGGGTCTGGAGGCAGAGAGACCCTGGTTCCACCAGAGTCACATTCTTGTCCTGCTGTGGGACCTCAGGCCGCTTGAGTATCTTCTCTGGGCCTCCCATTTTCTTACCTGGGAAATGAAATCATCCTCTTCTCCTGGCCCTATGTCTGGGAGGCTACAGGAGATCAGAGAAGGGGAAATCTTTTGAACCTTTAGGAAGAAAAGCACCTTAGAAATCCAGGTATTACCCGCAGCTCCTCCCTCCAGGCAAGATAATCCAGGAAAGCTTCCCCTGGAGGGGAGGAGGCAGGAAGCTCATGTTTGAAGTGTCACTGGGCTCAAGACTGTGTGACACAGCTGTCCAGCCCCAGAGGCCTGGGAGCTCAGACTCTGGTGCTTGCCAGGCACCCAGGCAAGACCCTCCCGACATCCTGCCTGCTCTGATCTCCTGCATCTGCTCTGGCTGAGGTTTCTGCAGCTTAAAGGAAGTGGGAGACTGAGAAGCCCTAAGAATGTGCCCAAAGCCAGTCTGCCCCACAGGTGTCTAATGCCTGGGGATTATTTCCTGGAGCTGAGGCCGGGTCAGGAGAAAGCACAGTGGGGCTAAAGGAGTTCCTAAGGAAGATGTATGAGATGTCAGGGACACCCCAGCCGGAAGTCTTCCTGGATTCAATGCTCGTCTTAGACACTGCTACCAACCAAGGGTAAAAGGGAGCAAGGAAGTTTTGTTTGTTTGTTTGTTTTTAAGGAAACAGCAATAGAAATGAACCGTTGCAGCCCTTTCTACTCTCCTAAGCCCCTTTCTTTTGTCATGTCTTAGAACTTGCCAAAATGGCATGGATATTTTTCCTCATTTGATTTTTTAAAAAATGGAAATATTCCAGACACACTAAAAGCCATGTGTCAGTCAGAAGAGTCTAGACCATGCTGCAGTAACAAACAATCCCAATGTCTCCATGGCTTAACACACTTCTGTGGTGCCTACCTGTAGTTCTAGCAGCTCAGGAGGCTGAGACAGGAGGATCTTGAGTTCAAAGCCAGCCTCAGCAACTAGCGAGACCCTAAGCAACTCAGTGAGACTCTGCCTCTAAATAAAATAAAAAAGGGGATGTGGCTCAGTAGTTGAATACCCCTGAGTTCAATCCCCAGTACCAAAAACCAAAAAGAAACAAAACAAAAAAATCAGACCAAAACAACAACAAAAAACATACTTGCTACTTTTTTTTTCTTTTTTTTTTTTTTTCAGTACTGAGGATCAAGCCCAGGGCCTCGTGCATGTCAGGCACCTTTGCTACGTCTCGTTTCTGCTACATGGTCCTCCAGGGATCAGTAGCGGCTCTGCCTGTCAAAATTACTCAGGACCCAGCGGGTGGAACAACCACCCACTTATTGTCAGGAGCCATAGAGGGATCTGGAGGGTCTCAAAACGCAAGTTATTGCTCTACCTTACAACTCATTGACCAGTCAGAGGCCCCTCCCAACCACTCAGAAGCCAGAAGTACAATCCTGCTACCAGCTTAGAAGGGGAAGAACCCACATACTCGGTGAATAACCGCAATGACCACCACAAACTGCAGCATTACATTACGAGCTCCACGTACCTGGGAAAGAATTAATTAGTGAGCAGCACGTCCCCAGCACCATCCAACCTGGGAAATACCACTTGGTGCTGCACATAACTGACTCTGTCACATCGCCCTGCTCCCTGTGCTGAGGTCACCATTCCCAATTTGATGTTTACACTTTCTTTCTTTGACTATTTATTTCTCTAGACTTATTATAGTATTGTTGTGTGTGTATTTAAAGGCCATCTGTGTGGTTTCACGCTGTATATACTCACCTGAAACTTTCTTTTTTGGCCACTGTATGTTTCTGAGAGCCATCCGTGTTGATGGAGGAAGCTGGGGTCCATTCCGTGTTCAGCCCGTCCTATGACACCCACAACGCCCGGGGCTATGTGGGTCACTGCCAGCTCTTTGTGCTTGCAGACAGCACTACCAGGAGCATTCTTGTGTCCGTCCTTTCATGTACCTGCAAGACACAGTTTCTCCAGAGCAAAGATTGAAGAGAGGCTGGGAGTATATCTCAGAGGTAGCTAACTCGCCTAGCATGAGTGAGGCCCTGGCTTTAAAAAAAAAAGAACTTAGATGGCCATGGCTGTCCAAGTGGCCCACTGGCTCCACGTAAGTCCTGCCGTCATTCTGCATCCTCCTCATCACTGGGTTCTGTCTGAGGAGTGGGGACATCCCCCATAGCCAATTAATAAAATTGAGCCAATTAATTCAGTCCCCAAATATTTCTCAAATGCCATCTTTGCCAGGCCTAGCAGGGTCTCCATTTATGAAGAGGGATAGAACTCCGTCCCTGCCCTCAGTGGTTTGCAGTCTGATGGGCAAGACAAGCACACTCAGGAGCCACTATTTCTTTTTAAGGACATGATCATAAGCTCAGGAAAAGATGAAGAAGCCAGATGCTTGGAAAGAAGGTCAAGGCCAAACACCCTGGGGCTCCCCGACATCTCCAGCCAGAGCTCGGCAGGAGGGTTAGAATCTTAGCACAAAGACGGTGGCCCATCAGGTGGGGACCTCTGCCAGGTAGCTTCTGGCACTGGGTGGCTCTGAGCGGGGCTCAGAGCAAAAGTCGTGGCCTGGTGAATCACCCCTGGGTAACTGCCTCTGCACTCAGGAGAGCAGCGAGGAGCCTTCAGTTCCCAAGGTGAGCGGTTTGCAAGACTGGGCAGGGAGCGGGCGTGTGGAAGAACTGTAATCACATCAGCGTTATTGATGGTCGTAATCACATTGAAACAATTCCTCGAGGCAGGTGGGTGTGGAATCCAGTGTGTCTCCTGAGGCTTGGGCCTGAGCCACCAGGTGGGAGGACGTGGCTGGAGGTGTGGCCAGGGAACAGAGAGTTCTAGTTCAGTGTCATTGTTCAAGGAACCGTGTCCAGGTATGGTTGCAACCACAGGCTCAGATGGCTCTTGGCTTGAGCTCTGAGTGTAGCTCACCTCAGTGAGTCCATTCACCACAGCGGGTTGAACACAGGTATCAGTGGGACATGACTTCTGACTCTGTGAGGGATATGACAACTCGATACACCAACTCCATCAAGATAGAATTCATGCACAATAAAATGCAAACCATTTCAAGTATACAGTTTGGTGAGTTTCCATAAATGCAGGCACCTATTCAACACCTTCACAATCAAGACAGGAAACGTCAATAAGAATACTTTTACAATCCCTGTCTCGTGTTTCAAATAGTGATAATTTGCTATAAGATATAGAAACGTAAGCAAGATGGTCATCGATGCAAGGCAGTGAAGTCAAAGTTTCGATTGCTGGCACGGATTACAAGGGCCAGAGTCTGCAGGGGCCTTCCCTTGAGAAGTACCTGGTCCGGATACAAATATATTTAGAGCTGGAGATTCTCCATCACCCACGGAGTGCCAGGGAGAGGCAGGCAGGCACCACAAGGCTGGCCTGTCCCAAAATATCTCACCGGCCTGAAATGCCACCATGAGTCACCAGCTTGTTTAAAACATTTGGTATTCTCTCCAGAATAGCCAAATTAAAATGCACATGAATGACTAAGAGACAACCCAGGAAGCCAGTCCTCTGTTGACATGTACCCAGAGGATGGGCTACCAGATTCTGCCACGGCAGGGGAGGACAGGCCTGTTCTCAGACAAACCGGAAATCGACAAAGTAGCTCCCCGAGTCAGTCATCTCTGTCTCCTTCTAAGTTGATGAGAGAAGGATTTTTTTCCTTTAGGCCATCTCAAATTACTACATTCAGGCAAGTCCCCTTGAAAGGTTGAAATGTCCATTTTGATCCAGAGAGAGGGGAAATTTTGTCAGGAGGAGGAGTTGTTGAACAAGAGTTTGGGGAAGGCTGCATCGCTGTAGAATACTAAGTCCTTTGGGTATAATCAGTATACTACAGTGACACAGCCACATCAGTGTTTATAGAAGCTCAATTCACAATAGGCAAACTATGGAACCAACACAGATACCCTTCAACAGATGAATGGATAAAGAAAATGTGGTATATATATACATAATAGAATATTACTCAGCCTTGAAGAATGAAATTGTGGCATTTGTGGGCAAATGGATGGAGCTGGAAAATATCATGCTGAGTGAAATAAGCCAATGCCCAAAAAACCAAAGGCTGTTTGTTTTCTCTGATATGTGGATGCTAATTCACAATAAGTGGCAGGGGGGGTGTGACTAGAGAAAAATAGAGGTATTCTGGATTAAATAGAGGGGAGTGAAGGGAAGGGAGGGGGTCTGGGGGTAGGAAGGATAATATAATGACTTGGACATTATTATCTATGTACACATATGATTACACGACGGGTGTATTCTACAACATGCACAACCAGAAGAATGAGAAATCATACTCCATTTATATATGATGTGTCAAAGTGCTTTCTACTGTCATGTGTGACTAATTAGAACAAATTTTTTTAAAAAGAGTTTGAGGAAAGGGCCCAACCTGGGGCCATGAGAGAGGGGGATACACAGTCACCAGGGACATGGGGCCCTGAAGGTTAGGACTATAGGTGTTTCCACTGGAAGTAAAGACTGCAGAAGCAGAAGGTCGCTGTCCTGAAATATCTAAAGGGTGGCTGTGAGGCAAGAGGATGGCTGGGGAAAGCCAGAAGGTAGCGTGAGGGAGAGCTTTCAGGAGAGGGTCTGGGTTGGCCCAGTGGGCAGTAAGATCCTACTCACTAGAGGCTAAGGCAGAAGCTGACACACCTTAACAGCAATTGGGACTCGGAGGTCCCTTCCATCACTGAGACTCTCTAATTTGTGGAGAATGTCACAGCCAGTCCTTAATCAGGCCCAAAACAACAACTACAATTGAGCAACTGCTTTGCACAAGGCATGATGGAGGAGGGAACAAAAATCATGGCCTCTGCTCTCTATCAAGCTGGAATCACAAAAGGGATAGAAGACACTCACTTGCAGAGTTCAGAAGTTAAAGATCCTGCCAGGAGTTGGAGTAGCCCAGATGGGCTCCAAGGAGGAGGTGAGATAGGAACAACCCCTGAGAGACGCGTCAGAATTCAGACAGGTAACCATGGTGCGCACAGTGTAATCCCAGCAGCTTGGGAGTTTGAGGCAGGAGGATCGTGAGTTCAAAGCCAGCTTCGGCAACTTAGCAAGGCCCTGAGTCCTAAGTAACTCAGAAGACCCTGACTTTAAAGAAAATAGAGTTAAAGGAGGGTTGGGGTGGAAATGTGGCTCAGTGGTTAAGCACCGCAGAGTTCAATCCCTGGAACGGGGTGGGGGGTGCAGGGGGAGGAACTCAGACAGGTAGGAAGAAAGGGAAAGATGGAAAGACAGGAACGGGCAGAGGCCAGGGTGCCCAGCTGGCCAGAGGGGTGGTCTATGAAGGGACACAAAGGGATGTCGGAGACACAGCTGAGGAGATTAAGGACACTGTCCCTAGAAGGACAAAAAGGCACAAGCCCCAGAGAGCAGGCAAGGCCCAGAATATGGCCTGGTTTCTGGGTATCCACCCCGGTGTGGAGGGAATTGGGGGAGCAAATTCCTCCCCCACCTCCAAACATGCTGCAAACCACCAGGCACAGGGCCCGGGAAGGCCTGGCAGCCCTTTCCTCCCACCCCCCATGGCCGCTGTCCCCCTCAGGGCAGTGTGAGCTGGAGAAAGACGGGAAAACCCACAAAAATCTTCCAAATAAGACAAATATGTGTTGCAGACAAAAGCCGTGCTGGGTGGGATGAGGTTTCTTTCGGTGGCTCCCCAACGGGGTGTACCCCGTCAAAAGTGGCTTGTGGCTGCCGAAAAATGCGTCATCTCCTGCTCTCAACGGCGGCTCCTTTTCTCAGTTACCCCCTAAAGAGCTCAGGCTGGGGGTTCCCGTGGCAGGGGAATTGGGGTTCTGTCACTGTCCTCCGGGTCACACCACACGGCCCTGCTCACTTCCCAGTAGGGCCCCAAGGGCTTCTTGGAACAGGATGCCCGCTTTGGGGTGCTGAGGGGGCCATTTTAAGCTGTTCCCTTATTGCAGTTCCTGGCCGCCCCGTGTGGGTTGTGTCCAGGACACAGCTGCAGGCGGGGGTCGGAGGGGGTCTGTGCAGCCCCTCGGAGAGCCGAGGGGTGGAGAGTCAAGTGGGGCTCCCAGGGAAGCTCAGATGCCCCTGGAGGTGCCTCAGGAGGGTGGGGGAAGGGAAAGGCTCTCCCCAGCCCTCTGTGTCCCCAGTACTCCCACGCCCCTCCAGGCTCCCAGGCCCCTGGGGTTCACGTTCCATTTCTGCTCCAGTTCCATGCCTGTTAATAGCCATTGTTCAATGGAGAAAGACAAAAATGTTTTCAGTTTAGAGGTATTGTTTCGGACTTTCTCTCTGTGGGCCAAGGGCTGGGATGGGAGGCCTCCCTGGGCAGCGTGGCCCCAGGCGAGGAGACGTGGTGCTTGGCCTGGATGAAAGGCAGCGCACTCCTCTGTCTGTCTGTGCTGCATGTGCCCAGGGACACACCCCAGAGAGACGCAGTGCTGCAAGAGAACAGCACCCCCAGCACAGCTGTGGCCCCATCCTCCTCCTGACCCTCCTGGCCTCCACCCCACCCCGTTAATAAATGCCCCGCTTACTTTTTTGCCTAGGCTCCCCCACTGGGGTTGAGGGAGCAGCTTCCTCTCTCTGGACCTCAGTTTCCTCATCTGTACCACGAGAGGGCACCCAGACTGCTGGGTGCAGACTCGTGTTGGAATTGCCGCCCTAACAGTGCTGAGCTATGGGGCGCTTAAGAGGTGATTTGGCACAAGGGCCCCACCTGCCTCAATGGACTAATGTTGCTGGGCAGGAGTGGGCTCCTGATTCAAGGGTGAGTTCAGCCTGGTTTCTCTCTCCCCCGCCTCCTCACCCCGACGTGCCCCCACCACATTACGAGGCATCCAGGAGGCCCTTGCTCATCTCTTGAACCTCTCAGGCTCCGGAGCTTGAGAAGGAAATCTGTGTTCTTTGAAAATGACCCAGTCTGTGGACTTCTGTTAAAGTAGCA